CTCAATCTTTAATGAACAATTGCAAATTTTTATCCAAAAGAACTCAGATCATGTATGGACAGTGAGTGATGTCATTGTTCTTGTAATATGATATTTAAATTTCAAATAATATTCTGGTTTGGCTCTCTATGTTGTATACCCCTCAGTTGAATCAAACTTTTGACTCGGTTTGGCCCAGATCGTTTTGGTTGCTCATTCTTCAATGTTGCTGTAGATGTACATACTCTAGTTTTCTGTTTATTTTACAAGAAACTCATGGAAAAGCAGTTGCTTGTATTGTGCTCTATGATATTCTTCTCACGGTGGTGGCAGCCTGCAGATGTTCTGCAGTGGTCTTTCTGAAGAACAGGGCAGGGCATTTAATTTATTGAAGTATCATTAATTATGTCATAAGTTAGAAATTGTACTTCTCATTGGAGCTCGTTTGATCTGGAAAGGATGTGAATCGTACCATTTTATGTTTTAGAAAAGGTGCAGAAATTGAAAAGTTGTAACTTGTGACCACTTGGTTTTTTACTTTGTTTCTCTGTTGTTATAAAGCAGCAATTGGTCTTGAAGCACACTTGAGATACTCATAGCTATATGATGTTATTTTTTATACATATACTTCTTAAAGCCCAAATTTGTTTGTCTAGATGCTTCTCATGTTTTCCCAAAGGTAACGCTGCAAAGAAGATAGGCATAATTCTTTAGCTCTGATGCTATTTATTCAGTTTAGTCTGTGTACTGTGTTACCTTGGTGTACTTATTTTTGAGGTTGATAGAATTTTCTATACATTTCGTGGCATCGTTAATTCCATGAAACTGAAATCTTGGACTTCATAAAACCGATCAAACAAATAGGAGTTGGCAGAACCGTCAATAAGAGATGCATTGGGTTCATGTGTTCAACAAGGAGCAAATCATGTGATAGTAAGCCCCTTGTTTCTCTTTCCTGGACGGCACTGGCATCAGGTAACTTATTATATTTTTGCTTTATTCCTTTGACCTTAATCTATATGCTTGATTAATGGCTGCACCATTTTGTTAAAGGTATTGTGGAAAATATTAAAAATTCTAGCCTTGTTAATTTGATTGCATATTTCACAGGATATTCCTTCCTCAACTGCTAATGCTGCAAAAGAGTATCCTGGTGTAGCATACATCATAACTGCTCCTCTTGGCTTGCACAAGCTCCTTGTGGTATGAGATTTTCCTCATTTTTCTCTCATGGTATTTATATTAATCCTGCAAAGACTTTTGGAGTCATCACCGTATTTCCAAATTGTGCTTAACTTTATTGTTAGTTCTCCTTACCTGAGTAATATGTAGATTATTCACGACTACTAGGGATATGACAATACTACTCAGTTAATGCAATTAAATCAAACTTTTACCCAATATCTCCATGAAACCAGTAGTGCTATATATATATATATATATATGTATATTATAAAGGCACTAAATTCATGCCCAGTTAA